ATGCATATATATATATATATATATATATATATATCATTTTAAATTTTGTTCATTTTTTGTTTTTTTGTTTAAAGATTTTTTTTTTTCTTGGACAATAGCACACTACATATATTTTGGTTTCTATAGAGAATAATAAAGTATCTACATATACATGCATATATATATATATATATATATATATATATTTATATATACGCATATATACATATTACAAATAAGAGGAGACATATACATATATACATATATATATATGTTCGCGTCAAGCGACAACGAATCATTATCATTATCATTATCATTATCATCATTATCATTATCATTACCATTATCATCATCATCATCATTATCCGGACACGCATCATCACCTAAATACATGTATGGCGTGCGTCAAGCAAAAATCCAAGATTTTTTTCTTCATTATCTTTGATTTATATGGTTTTGTTCAATTTCCAATTTGAACTGCGAGAAAAACCAGCCGATAAAACAAATTAAAATTATTGTTACAAAATATAAAAAGTTAATAGCACATTTCAGATACCTTCTACTACTGCTTTCTTTTTTTTTTTTTAATCTTTCTTTTGAACGAATAAAAAAAAAAAAGAAGAAAAAGGAACAAAATAAAAAATTAAAAAAAAAAAAAAAAAATACTTTCAACAAAAGTCGTATGATTGATTGCGCTGCGCATTTCTTAAGATTTAGACATTTTGTTAATTATAAGTAAAAAAAAAAAAAACAAAAATGATTAATAATTATCTCGGATATAATATTGCTTGGCAACGCGTGTTTTTCTTTTTTCTTTTTTTTTTTTATACCCACAAAAAGGGAACTTTGGCAACATACTAATAATTGGCAATAAACATTCTTTCTTTTCTCTCACATACATATTTATATATATATATATATATTTTTTTTTTTTCTCAGCTGGGCAGTACAGCTTTTTTTTCTTCGATACAATTTTTTTTATTTTTGTTTTAATCCTTTCTCATTAATTACTGTTTTCTTTTCTTTTTATCGCACAATCATACACACACATACACACACTCTCTCTCTCTCTCTCTCTCTGTGTTTAACTTTCTATCTTTTCTTTCGTTCATTTACTCTCATTTTACATAATCGTTCATCGCTTATTATACCACATAGCAATAATAATTCTAATTAATATTAAATCGAGTAATCTTTATAATCATAATCATAATCATAATCATAATCATAATCATAATCATAATCATAATCATAATCATAATCATAATAATAATAATAATAATAATAATAGCTATTAAATGTATATATATATTTACAATACAGAAAAATCGTTCATCACTTTGAATAACAAATTGTACAGTGATACAAGGCTAACAGTGAGATCACGGCTCGGATCATTCATTCATTCATTCATTTCATTATTTTCAATCCTAACCGTAGTTTCTCTCTCGATGATTTTTTTTTTTTTTTTTTTTTTACTAATTTTCTTCTTTTTTGTTTTTTACAGAATTATGATATATATGTATAATATCTATTCGCTCATATATATCATCGTACAATGATCGAATTTGAATGAATCCTTAATAAGGACGAAGCATATCTCTTGGAAGGAACGTCTAATGAAGTACGATATGCATGTAGAAAGTTATTACAAAAGTTAAACAAAACAAAAATAAAATAATAATAATAATAATAATAATAGAAATCGAAAAAAGAAAAAAAAATCAACAAATAATGGAAAGATTTGATTAGATCGAGTCATAAGTAACTTTCTACTATAAGTCATCAAAAAAAAAACAAACAAACGAATTTTTGTTATCACTGTATAAATGAGAATTCAGTTTTAGTCTTCTGTTAACTTTTTTTTTGTATACAGTCAATGTTACATTTAACCGTTTTACTTAATCACTCAAATGGTTGGTAAAAAGTGCATATTCGACAAAAAAAATTGAAACAAGGCAAGTAGCACTAAAGGTGACAATTGAAAAAATATACAGCGTATACAGTGCAGGACTGATAACTGATAGAGGGCAATTAAAAATTGGTTTGTATGTAAAATTCCATTTCTAGAGATACGATTTTAAAAGATGAACCGAGTAGTGCATGGACGTATTGTTGACTTTGATGAACCTTTTAAAGGTAAAATATTGGAAACAACATTGCAAAAGAGTGCAAAAAAAGAAAACAAAAAAACTGCATAAAAGGTGTCTTGCACTTATCAGTCTTAGAAACGCCATTTTTTGTTTCATAAAAAATGAAAGTTATTTATGACTCGACCCTCCTAATTATATAAAGATCAACAAATAATATTTAAAATTCTCGATAATAAAGTTTTCTGTATAATTGTGATGTGTATAAAACGACGAACGTTTCTCTTATCTTCCTTATTGTTTTTTTTTTTCAACGCACTTATAATAATTAATTAAAATAATTAATAATATTAATATTAATAATAAGGGAACTTTGACACTACGTGCAAAATAATCGGATATGACCTGTATTTTGATATGACCAAAAAAAAAAAAAAAAAAAAATCTTGTACAATTAAAGAAGAGGATCAATGGCATGAACAATATAATGCATAGGCCACATATTATTTTTTTTTTTTTTTTGAATAAATGCCGAGTAGCCCTACTAAACGTATAAGAAAATAAAAGCATTTGTACTTTTGCTTATACCACTGTTAATGAATAATAATAATTAGTGATGACTGTTAAAATGAGAAATATTTTTCGCTGCGCTTTTTTCTTCTTCTGTGTTTATTATTAACATAGATTATTTTAATTATTATTATTATTAGTCAATAATTTTTCTTAACAACGGTTGTTTTTGTTGGTTGCTTGTGTGTAGTTTCATGAAACAAAGATATATATTTATATATATATATATATATATATTATATTTGCATACATGGCAATTTTCTTGTATTTCTGCCGTTTTTTGTTCGCACATTTAACGAAATTATTAAAATATGTGTATTTTGAATGCAATGTGTAGATATATTTAGCATAAGTTGCCTTCTTCTTCTTCTTCTTCTTCTTTCCACTCTAAATTATTTACATATCATTATTTATTTTATGGTCCTATTATTTTCATGAAGTACAATCTGCTTGTTTTTTCCTTAATGTAACTACTCTCTCTCTCTCTCTCTCTCTCTCTCTCTCTCTGTATGTGAATTCTCTTGTGTTATTATTATTTTTTAGCCATTTGAACCGGTCAATGGCACGAGCTGATAATATTGTTATTCTATTTATTTTACTTTTTACTTTTTACTTTTTACTTTTATTTTTAAGGCGATGGAGAGCACCTGACTTGAACAGTTTTTTTTTTAATTTTATGCATATTGGATTAAAAAGTTAGTCAAAGAAAATATTATCTTACTTAAACGAGACACGTGTTTTTTGTTTTTTTTTTTCAATTCATATTTTCTATTCCCTTTTTTGATCTCCTTGATTATATTTTAAAATTGATTAATTGATCTAATTTAAAAAATATTATATAAATGTTATTACGAATTTAGATTTTTGTTTTAAAAGCATTTCAATGAAACATAAATAAATTTGATATACACTAATACAAAGTTTAATTAAAAATTATTATAATATTTATTACTTCAATGATTTCTTAGTATTTGTTGATTATGATTAAACAAAATGAAATATACATGTATATATATATATATATATATATAATTAATCTTA